ACAAGAAGCTTAAGTTACTTACCATAATAAACTATAGTTCACTGAGATGATTCTCCACATAAAATTTATTTTTCAAGCAAGTCATCCATGTCCCGTCAACCCTGGCATGTGAAAACCAAATGTCAACCCTTCCTTTTTATACCTTAAAAACACTTCTAAAGGCCAGTGAAAAGTTGCCCCCCATGGTCTTTTAATTACTTTGATTCAATTAACTACTTTTCTAGAAGCAGTTCCAAAAAACTAGAAAGATAGCATAAAGTATGGAACCATGAGACCAATATTCAAACATAAATCTTTAAAAGTAGCAACAATTTTCCATTTAGAACTACTCCTAAAGACACTTACCAGGAAAAAAGAGTAAAGATTATATCAGAAGGTGGTTCTGACCAGAACTGAATAAGTTGAAGACCACTCTCCCAAGTAGTTCCACAGTTCACATTTATGAATGCAAAAATACTGCAATACTTTTATCGCATGCAAATTACTTTGTCCTTCCACTCAGATGTCTTTTAAGAATGATTCATCTAACTTGTTTCTTAGGACTAATCAGTTCCTCAAAGCAGAAGGAAAGAGTACAGCTAGGAAGACTCCTGAGCTATCTGAATACAGGAAAAGCTTTATCTCCAAAACTGATGGGGATTCTTTTACTCAAGCTCTTAGGCTGAACTAGAAAAGATAACATCTCATCACATGAAAGATTTTCATATTTTGCCAGCATCATTTGAGAATTTGCAATTATCAAGAGTACAGGTAAATTTATGTAGGATCTCAAACATGATGAGATTTCTCATTGGCCACTGCCATTACCAGAGAAGCTGCAGTTGTGATTTAAAAAACAACCCAGTATAAGTCATATAAGTGACCTTCAGGTAAGGTGAACAGTCATTACATTGTTTGACCAGCACTAGCCATTTCCAAATACTAATGATTTCAGTATTAAAAGGCACTAAGGCAATTAAAGCATGCTAAGTAATTTGTATGGAAATAGCCTGCTTTCCATTTTTTGTACCTCATTAATGCTGGGTTGCTTCCAGAACATGTACTCAGCTTTTGCTCAGCTGTTGACACTTCATTAAGGATCATTACACTGTTACTCAGACTACATTAGCTTCTTATGGCAGTGGTGAAACTGATGAGACCTAAGTCAGTTTCAGAGATGCTTCTAATACAGTACCAGCAGATTGAGATGGGCTAGAAGGATTAACAACTGATCTTGCTTGTTGGGCAATGTTGTGTAATACGCAACTTAGACCATACTCAACCTCCCCTCCCCACCAATTCTCAGCATAGCACTGCTCTCCAAAGTCAAACCTCTCTCAAAAAGGCTTCAATATATATGGCTAGAGAGAATTAACTCTGAAAAGAGCTCTGCTAAGGTCAGCTTCAGTGAAGACAAATATATTATCAGCAATGATAATCCTAGTAAGCATCAAACAATAATTAACAAACATGAATCTTCAGCTTTAAGTAAACCTCCCATAACATCAATCTGTAAGAAAACCACCTATGATCTCAAGATGACACTAAATCCATTAACATCATGGCTCCTCCTCTACTACTTATCCATCAAGAAATGAATGGTGTCCTAGATGCTGAAAAGCTGAACCAGACTTGGCACCTCAAGTGTATTTTGTTTGGTAAGCCATTAAGGACCTCTAGGCACATTTCACACTTAATTTCATATCCTTTTACTCAACTGAAGAAACAAAAAAAAGTCTCAATGCTACTTATGCTCAATATAAAGCCAATTTAGCCAAGGGTCCCACAGATGCCTCAGACATGAGGGCTGGATATTTGGTGACTGACTAAATTGACAAGAGCTTCAAGAATTTTCATGTCACTGGGAGGCAGCCCTCCCAACTTTTGCTCAGAAGAAAGCAGCAAAGAGCAGTGCTGGGTTTCAACCTTTGCTCAGATACTGGAAATGCATTATCTGCTAACATTTACACAAAACATGAAGAAGTGACGCATTCTCCAAACTATCTGAATGGATGCCTGTCTGATATGTTTTATACAAAATACAAGCTATGCTTTGGTCAAACATCAGTTATTGTGGTCATTAAGGGTAAATAGGTGAAATGTAATGGCCTACAATACTCAGGAGGTCAAAGCAGATCATCAGGTAGTCCTTCCTGGCCTGAAAAAAATCAATGAACCTATAAGAGACACTGAACCTGAAGTTGGCTTTTCTTAGTTTGCCAGCTGAGTCAGAGGATCTAGACAAAAAGAAAACCCAAAAGGAAGAACAGGCCTACTGATATAGACATTAAGCAGAAGTCCATTACAGCTTCGTGTCAAGTGACACCTGCCATGGCAAAAGGTATTCAAAGCCTTCCTATTTCAGTAAAGAAACAGCTGGCTAGTTACCTATATAAAAACCTAACTGGCTGAAGAATAAATCGGCAGAAGAACAAATCAGTGTTACTGAGGTTACTGCATGAGAAATGAACTGCAGTTGCTGTCGTTCCCATTTATATAGCTTTAGAGTTCAAGAATTATAGGCAGTGAAAGATGGTGGGGTATGGTTTGAGTAGATAGGTAGCAGGGACATGGCTCAACTAAGAGTGGGGATCCAGATAAATCAGGCTTGGTTTAAATCACATTTTTTGTGAAAACCACGAAATTAAGTGATTGTCATGAAAAACGTGATTTGCAATGAAATGCCACGATACAGCAGCGCATCAATGGGTGGGGCCAGGCAAGCAGTCAGAGGAAAGTACTGGGAGCTGCCCCAGTCGAGCTCCTGTGTGTGGAACAGACCTGGGTGCAGGGGTAGGCGAGGCTGAAGGGGTACCAGTGGCAGGTGAGGCAGAGGGGTAGCAGCCCCTACGTGCAAGTGATGCCACCCATGCTCCAGCCTCTCCCCTACCTCAAATCTTTCTCCCCCACCTCTGAACACTCCTGATACCTTCCCCCAGCCTGGCACTAGAAGCTGGGCTCAGCCAGCCAAATGGCCCTAAAATGCCCCCTCAGGCA